ATTTAGGACGCGGTCTCCGTTGCGGCTGGTCATGTCGACGGCTTTATTGACAGCCTCCAGAACGTCGGGTTTGAGCATGTCAAGGCGGCCCAGGACGCGAACCTTTGCTCCGTATCGATCGAGCAGGTCTCCGTGTTGAGCCATCTGCGACAGCTTCACCTTGGCCATTTCCATGAGCGCATCCACCTCGAATTTTGAGCGTTTGAAGTTCTCGATGCTGAAGGCATAGATTGTGACTACCTTCACTCCGCTCTTGTAGCAGACTTCGAGGATCTATTAGTCGTTAGTATCGGCCACAATACGGGTGCTGCCGTGTAACGCCGAGCTGCCAAAAATGTAGCACTCACTCTTGCAAGAGCTTCAAACCCCAGATTATGTCCCTCCACTGTCTCAATTCCGTGTGAACGGGCAAAACGCCGGTTTCCATCCATGACAAAGGCCACATGCTGGGGGACAGGACCCTGTTGGAGTGCGCCGATCAGCAATTCTTTAAGGCTGGAGATGGCGTACTCGGCAGGCGGAGAGGCGAGGAACCAGTTCCGGAGGCGTGACATATGCATTGAACCCGGCATGATGAATATGTGAAAAAGATGTAAGCCCCGTAAACTCCGCAGAAAAATCAAGGAGTTGGGGTAGAGACTGGGATACGGAGTAGAAGATAAAACATTTGAAGGTGCACGGTTAGCGGCTGACCGGATTCGGTTTTGTACAAAACGCGACGTGGTCAGTTATGATGACAGTCTTTATTGGCAATTTTTAGTACAATTTTGAGGCGATGCAATAAAATAACCTAGGCTGCACCATTTTCATGTGCAATTTTAGATTCTAAGGGGGCGTTTTTTGCCCCCTGCTCTTAACGTAGCCCTGTGGATGTGAGGCAAAAATGAATAATCGGCCAAGATTAGGCCCCGAGCAATAGCGAACATGTTCAATAATAATTGGTTGGCCTTGATGGTACCTACAGAAGTACAGGAATGGCAATAATATCGGACTTATCACTCTACAATAAGGCGGAAAAGATTTCCTATTTATAACCAGGGGCAGGGAAGCAGAGAAGATATCTCGTATAGAAGGAGACCCTGGTGTCGCTATCTACTTGATCTGCGGTGGAATTATATGACTTGTTTATTATACTTATGGAGTAGTAATGCTTTTCTTCGTTACGCTATTATTTAGATTACAATAATAATTAGTTGCCAGGTGACCCATCCATGGATAGATTGTTTGATGATATTCATAATCATAAAAAAACAGAGAGGATATCTTGCATGGTTATATAAAAGCAAATACGTACACAACTGCGCGCTGAACACCGTGGTTGGTGGTCGCGATGATAAAGGGTTAAATGACCAATGCAGTACACATCTCAAAGATCTTTTCGGGACTCCTCAGTGCTAGATGGAGTTCCAGGGCCTGAGCTGGCCATATCCCAGCTTCCATCTTCGCTTCGACGCCGACGACGCTCTCCGCGCTCTCTCATGGCATCACGGATCCGTGAACTAACATCCTCAAGCGGGTCTTTCGGGGTGAGAGGGCTGAGCGGCTTCAGTCCGTGCCGAGACCCAGGGCGGGCGCTAGCAGATCTGCTGCGGCTACGGTCACGACTAGGAGGTCGTGTGGAGAAGAAACCAATGTTGGCCAGGTTGTGGAAGGACTCGTTGCGGGGCAAGGGCTCTGACGAGGGCATTTTCTCGCCATGGTCCGATACGCTGGTTCTCCTAATCTCCGGCAGTTCGTGTTTGGCCTTGGTATCGGTGTTGCTCGCTTCTCGGAATGGATCGGTGACAACACGAGCGGCATCAAAGTCGGGGAATAGCTCAGGTCCCATGGTGTTGATCGCGTCCGTCACTTGCTGAGCCAATGCAGCGCGTCTCTCTCGAAGCTTCACTAGCGTGTTGGCCGATGATGGGTTTAGAGACAGAACAAGCGGGCGAAGTGACTTAATGATATCCATGCCTACTTCGCCGATCCGAAGGGCCGCAAAGGTGATCGTGGGGAAGAGCACCATACCGATTATCACTACCGACCAAAGTGGTACCCAGTCTGGAACCATTCCATTGACTCGGTTCCAGTACGTCCAATAAGCGAGGGAAGCAGTGTAAAAGGCATAAAGTGCTGGAGCAAATGCAAGGGCAATAAGAAGCTTCCATGTGGCCATGACATCGCGGCCTTGAAGTTTCACTGTGGAAGCAGCCAGTGCTTCCTTGGACTTCTTTGCGGAGAGGTACTTGGTCACGATGAAAACAGGGGTAAAGAGCAGGAGACCGGGAAGCGTCCCGATTGTCAAGAGTGCTAGTTTGCCTAGGCGGTAGATCAACGTGGCTACCACCTGCAAGATGGAGAACTTGGCGTAGGCCACTTGGTGATCCCGGATTCCAAGAAGACGAAGCTGTTTGTTATATCCTACAATAGACTTGCGTAGTTCAACGATCCGGGGATCGTCCTTGAAGTGGGCGTAACCTTTCACGAGACGGCGATTCAGCTCCACAACCATAGGAAGAGGAAGATTTTTGCCTTTGGTGTTGTACAGACGACGGGCAGCTTGAATGACCTTTGAATTGTTAGCGGAAGCATATTTCCCGAAATGGAAAGAAGCTTACCATAAGAGTTTCATAATCGGGACTAGTGACAGTGACCGAGACGAGACTTCCGTAGATGATTTCCAGCAAAGCACCGACAGACTCCCGTCGTTCACCTTGCTTGAACTGCTCCACCAATTCTGAGGGAATGTCAATTGGAGTACCAAACTCAATAACGGCCCTGGAGCGGAACTTGTGGGCATGGAAATAGTTCATGCCACAAGGCACAATTTTCAAACCACAGCCCGGGTTTTCAGCCAGGGTGCCTAGAGCCATCAGGGCGACACCAGCTGTATCATGTCAGTAAATCTTTCGGACCTCTTAAACACGGACAGCTTACCTTTCAAGGGAAGCAGTGTAGTACGATCGTGGCTTCCACCTTCCGGGAAGATACCGACGCAGCCGCCTGTGCCTAGTCTTTTGAATACTGCCTCATAGACTGCAGTCTGATCCACATGCGGAGCAACCTTGAATTTGGTGCCCTTGAAATCCGGATCCTGCTCGGATGCATCTCCAGTGAAATTTCCATCACGGTCAATGTCTTGCCGTCCAGTAAGCTGGGCTAGCGCATCCCTGTGCTTGAAAGCCTTCTTGAGCACCAATTCCTCCGGTCCCTTGATCTCGGCGATCGCGGTACTGTGTGATGTTCCGTTGATGGTGGGCAGGGCAATGGTTCCGTCCTTTTCGAAATCTTTTCCTTCAAAATTGGTTCCAACACCTCGCAGCAAAGTTGGCTGATTGATTGGGTCGGGAAGATAGATGGTGCCGGTGCCGGGTTTCAAGTTGTCCATAGCACGTGCCACGGGCAGTGTCCCAACTGATCTCGCCAGAAATCCGATGAACTTGCGTTTGAAAGATTTGTCCGCAATAAGCCATGAGATCCGACGTTGCGCTTCGCTGCGAATGACGCGCATCAACACCAAAGAATCGACGAACTGGGCGAATATTCATCATTAGCATCTTGTGTGCGTTGGACCGGAAGCGGGCGGCATACCTGGTTCGCATGGGGAGCTGCCACTAGAATGATGGGACCGCGGCGGGGGATTTTCCATGAGCCTCGGGGGTGAACCTCGCGGAAGAAGAGGTCGATGAGCACGGAGAATGTCCAAAGGACCAAATCATACATCCACCCAACGAGGGGTGGGATGTACTGGCCTTTTTCTCCCATTGTGCCGTAGAAGCCCGATGGGCAGTTTCCGGGGAGGAAAGAAGGCTAGATGGTCGTGAAAGGGTCGTGAAAGAGTTATGATCTCGACATGAAGTCCCTGGGGAAAAGATAAACGTTAGTATGGCTAGCCGGAAGGAGCTTGGGATCCACATACTTGGCTGTTTCGAGCCTCGGATCACCACGGACTATCCAATATAATCGATAGAGATATCAGAACATGAGATCAAGGCAGAAACATAAGAAGAGGGGAAGAGGTCGAAGTTTGTATGTGGAAGGTTTCAGTGTTAGTGCGCTTTGACTCGGACGCTTCTAGAACGTGACATCGTTAGGACAACATTAGTTAGAACGAACATATTGAACTTCGACTTTGAACTACGTATGAAAGGATGTAAATACGTATATCTCTTTTTCTCTCTGTGTGCATGCAACTGTTACATGCTACATAAGCTAATAATATGATCTGTCACACCTAGAAAAGCTCTGATATAACCCCTTCCCAGGTGAGGTCAGATCATTGCAACATTCGCATGACAGGATAAGATCCTAGAGATCCTAGTACGAGATCAACTTTCCAACTTTTCAAATAATCCCAAGCCACATATGCAGAGCGTTGAGATTCGGTCAAAACGTCATGCGGCTATTCCAGATCCCTTTTTGATGGGATCGGCCTGGAAGCTATCGCCAAGTGCATAGAAGTGCGTAAAACATTAAGCTTAGCATGGTGGAGACAATGTGCTCTGTAAGCATATGGATACATATAGCTAACTACATATTGTACTGGAATTAACATCAGAATTATCTACATACGAAGTACATAAAAAAGAACGATCAGTTTCCACACCGTACAACATACTGTCGAAGTTTCCCCTGCAGGTTTGTCTCCCCGCCTGCCCCGCCTTTCCACTTCAACTTTCCCTCTTGATATTGCAAGTCTGCGCTTCACTCAAAAAACCTTTGAAATTGTGGCTTTTTGATCTTGTCTTTGGGGAAATCTACAGGCCTTACTTTGGTCCCTCCTAACCCCGTCCACACCCCAATATCCGCACACCTCACCTTTCACCTTCGAAGTCATATCCAACCTGACCATTCTCTTACCGGCGGTTTGGGCTGATAAAAGCAGTGTCACATGCGCCTGGAATGATCTCACATCATGTCTCTCAAGTATGCCTCTGCTCTCATGCTTGTTTCTCTCCGCCGGCCAGGACCAGACCCATATAGCCTTGAAGCATCTATACTGACTGCCTAGTTGGGTAATGCTTGATGACCAGGAAGGCTTCGTCCGTCTTCCCAACGAACGTCTGATCTACTCCTCCCCTCCTCGTACTAGTGTCTCTTTGACCCCGCCGTCCGGATACAAGGGCGCAGAAAAACTTTCAATCCAAAGCAGTACCGGCTGCATCCACCTCACCAACCAAAGAGTCAGTATCCAGCCATATCCATGTCTTCCCACCAATTTAACACTCGCCAGGTCGTCTACCTTCCCGCATCTAGAAGTAATGACTTCCAGTCCTTCTCATCACCGCTCTTGAATATCCGTGACTCCCATGTATCTGCACCGTTCTTTGGGCCCAATGTATGGACAGCTCTAGCGCAACCAGTATCTGGAGGTGGCATTTCACCGTCTCTGCCTGCCGTCCAGTTGAAAGTGACATTCAAGGAGGGTGGAGCCTTTGACTTCCATACCAACTTCGAGCGGATTAGGGAACGACTCGAGCAAGCTGTCGAGAACACAAGTCACGGAACTCGGGGGCACCAGAACGTGGATCTCTCAGCTGTCCACTTAGAAGAGTTGCCTGCATATGAAGCTCCGCCTGATGCTAGCCAACACGCTAGACCCAGTCAGACACCGGAAGAATCGCAAAGCAGTCGAGCATCTGACACCGGTACCGAACCTGTGGAGCCGCCTCCATGTTACGAGGAGGTTCAGTCACAGAGTGTAGCCCACGAGCTGGAGGAGAGGCTGCGACGGGCCACCTAATCTTTCTGGACTCTATTTCAACATGCCATTCTATCACATATTTGAACTGGCCTCATTTTTACTATCTATCTCATGTACATTATTCCCCATCAATTAGCAATTAGCGATACGAAAGCGGTGCTTGCAAGGTTACGCACTTAGCAATGGAGATACGATGAGTTGGCATGCTCGACAACGTTTGTTCTCAGCGGACAATAGTAGAAGTATCCTATATCTCCGAGATCCTTAGATCTGGCAGAAATAACTCCAATAATAACTTCCCCATAAACTGCACTGTGAAGCCCCGAATGGTGTTGAACCCCACTGGCCAATCACGTGCGGCATAATTGGCGTCTCTCAGCGGCCGGGCCTTTCCGATTTTCCAGTCCGAAAGAAGCAGCTCTTGGGCAAAACCAACAACCTCCCTCATTACCACCCCCTTCCGCTTTTCCACCCACACAAGACCTCCGGTCATCATTCAATTGATCTCTGTCGCAATGGGTCTCTCCGAATTTTTCTCTGACGTCGTCTCCTCCTTCGGGTTCACTGAGGCCCAGGCTGAGGCTCCCGCTCCAGACACCGAGACCGAGACCACCACTCAGGAAGAGCCCGCCGAGGAGGAGCCCGCCTCCACCGAGAGCGCCGAGACTGAGTCTGCTGAGCCCGAGTCAGCTGAGGAGACCCCGGCTGAGGAGGAGTCTGCCGAGGAGACCCCCGAAGAAGAGGAGGCTGAGGCCGAGGAGGAAGAGGAAGAAGAGGAGGAGGAAGAGCCTGAGGACATCAAGCCCAAGCTCGAGGAAGGTGAGTGACCTTGATGGGTTTTTTTCTTGACTTTTGCTTTCCTATTCGCGTTCTGTTGTCCATGCGATGATTGAACATGAGCTGTTGTTCGCACCAATTGGTCTTATGTGTCAAGATCCGCGCCTGGCTCATAAAACCGCCAATGGCACTGCAAATACGAATTTTACCGGATTTCTCGATCGGAAGCTAACTATTATTCTCAGAGTGCGCCCACTCCGCCGTCTGCGCTCCCTACAAGCACCACTACGATGAGTGCGTTGAGCGCGTCACCCGCCAGGAGGAGGATGAGGATTTCAAGGGCCCCAAGGAGGACTGCGTCGAGGAGTGTAAGTGCAATTGACACCAACGATGGAATCAGACAAAACCATGGAGTTGCTTCCCATCGAGTCCTGATTGTGCGACTAACATAACCCCAGTCTTCCACCTCACTCACTGCGTGACCGCCTGCGCTGCCCCCAAGCTCTGGAGAGAGCTGAAGTAAACGACTCTTCTATTGAGTCTTGATTTCGGCGTTCCGTCCAACCCTCATATCGATCCCAGGAATAACCTTCGCCCTCCACTGCATCGATACGGGGAATCCCTTGGACCGAAGCTCCGGAAGAAAACCCAATCCCGCTTTTATGATGGCTGCCAAGGTGGACTGATAGCCTGGTAGCTTGCCGCCTTGGATTGAGAACGCAGGATCGTCCAGAAACGTCAAATTTTGTTTCTGGTTGTTCCTTGCGTATGTGTGCGCATATGTATTGTGTTTTTCAAGGCGGGGAGGAGGGCTCAGAGGAGCAACAAAGAATAATAGATCATTTGCCCTCCTCTTTCGGCCTTGCGTGTACAGATAGCTGGTCTTCCGCCCGTTCGAACTGTGCTTTTGTTTATTCTCTTGTTTTAAAACGAATCTCATCTGTCTAGTTGGCATTGTGCTCTGGTAGGCTAGGCTTATAGCGACCATGCCAGCTGCAGGATTCATATAGCTCGGTTCAGTACGGCCAGATTATCGTTCCATGAGTACGCTCAAATCGTCAACCAGCACTGATATATCGACCCAAATAGCTTAAGCCCCTGTGGGTGGGTACAAATTCAAAAGATATCAGGGTAACATAAATGGGATATAACTTGAGCTGATTAGGGACAACGGCAATAAAGACTCTTCGAGAGCACCATGGCGCAGCAATAAATTGAAGAGAGCGAACCAAGGAATCCTGATAGCGACACAGTTCTCAAGTCTTGATCAGCGTATCAGTATCCACAGCAGACTCATCAGATCTAACCCTCTTAACATTGTCAACCGGCCCATCCACCTCCCCAACCTGCTGCAACTCAACGCCGCGATCCACATCCCATCTACGACGATGAACAGCCCTCCCAAAGAGGCCAATCGTCATGGGAAACGGCGCAGCCACAACAGCAACGACAGCCGCAAATATCAACGCATTTCGCATATTATACGGCGGCGCAGCCCCAGCCCCAGCCTTCAACGCATCTTGAATAAGAATAAAGCACGCACCGAGCAACTGCCCACCCGTCCAGCAGATGGTACTCCCAATCTCCGACGAGAGCGGATAAGTAATCTCAGCCAGGTACTCTAGAACAATCGGCAGTATCACGAACGACGCCGCGCCCAGCAGCGCCATAACCACATACGAAGGCGGGATTCCCGCCGGACTGCCCGGCGCAAAAATCAGCCCGATATACGTGGCTGCAACCACGGGAACTAGAACCCGGATAGTGCCAAGGTAGTGCTTGTACCGGTCTGTTATCGGCGACATGATTGCCGACGCGACGAGTCCCACCACGATCAGGATGGCGCCCGCAATGCCTGCTTCTGTCTCGGAGAACCCGTGCGGACTGAGGATTTGGTTTAGCAGTGAGGAGACGCTGTTGAAGAAGCCCACGTATACAGAGAATGGGATGAAGATCTGCCAGAATTCCCGCGTGCGGGTTAGTTCGCGCACTGCTGCGCCTAGTGGCGTGTGCGGCTTTGCGGAGGATGCGCTTGCGGGTGTTGGTGGTGACGCCGGGAGGAAGAATGATGGGATTGCTGCGACGGTGGACTATTGATTTACTTGGTGTGAGCGAGAGGGAGAAAGGACTAATGGTGGGTTGGGACATTTTTGGGGGGTGGGTTTCACGTACGATGATCGAGATGTACAGGACCATATTTGGAATATCGGAGGGTTTTGACGCCCACTCCGAGTCGATTAGCTGGCCCAGGGCTGCGCCGAGTGGGTTCGCTAGACTGGCAACTGCTGTTGCACTCGTGCGGCCTTTGTCGGAGAACCAGAGCTCGCTGTATCGGGTTGGTGCGCAGAGGCAGAAGGGTTGCGCGAACCCTATTAGGATCTGGCCGAACATCGCGAGCCCGAAGATGCCGCCGTTCGCTCTGGTGCCGGCATATCTGAGCCAGTTGCCGAATAGTAGGAGCGTGGCGGTGGTAATTATAGCTGGTTTTGGGCCGCCTTTGTTCAGGATCCAGATGACGATGCTGGGAATCTTGTTAATGAATGGCATACCTTGGGCGGATTTTTCTTTTTTTCGCTTCTCTTGCTTTTCAAGGCGGCGATTTATGCATACTTACGGGCTAACAACGCAGAAGGCGAAGAGGTAGCCAGTGCTCATCCAGTTAATAGCGCTCTCTGAGACATCGAAGTACTCCGCGGCCGTTGTCGAGATGGACGAGAAGGTCAACCACTGTATACGCGAGTCAGCGATATGCAAAGTCGATATATGGATCAATCGTAAAGTAGCGCATACGTCCCAACTGACGACGATATTCAGCAATACCAGCTGTGCCAGGCCCCAGAAGCGTCGCTTATAGACTTTGTAGATAGGTCGAGAGGCCTCGGTATTTGGAGAGCGCTCAAAAGTCGACATGTCCACAATTCTGACAGACCAGATTCATTCTGTGCCGGCCTCTACAAGAAAATGGAACAAAGCGGGCATCTCTTATCCTTTTAGTCTTTTAGTCTCTTGGCCTTTTCCATGTTACTCTGGGGCATCGGATCCGAGTCACACGCAGCCGGGTACTTGGCGGTACTTGATCAGCCCTGCTGTGACGTTTGCTCAAGTACTATCAAGTACAGGACACAGCGGGGTTGTCGAATCAGAGGTCTTATATTAATTTGTAATAGCTGTTGCATAACTAACTAGCCAGCTAACTAACTAACTACGTATGTAGTTATTAGAGATGTTTTTAGGTCAGTACTGTGAAGTATAACTCCGTACTCCGTACGGTATACTCCGTATCTGTGGGTTCCCAACGAATCATCTCAGACAAAGAACCTTGGAAAGTGGAAATGGTGGAAATGACCTTCGAACTTATCTCGTATACGTATTCAGGGGTTCTCTACATCTATGATATTTACATGTACTCCGTACAATATGTACAATATCCATATGTATTCAAATCGAACATATCGTTTATGTAGAAATTGCCGTGGCTGAACTCTGTGATGCCGATCGTGTGTTTTCTCCTTCACTCCCCGCCATCTTTTATTTAGGATCTTCGCTAAATACATCGAATCCCTCTCCACTATTCTCCTAATTCAGACCTACTACGTTTCCCTCCCATCGCAAAGTCCAGGACTCATGATGCCCGACGCCTGTTCCTGAATTTCTCCTAATCATTCTCATCGGAGACACCTCGGCCCATTGAACGACCATGAATATCAGCATGCGCTCCAGCCAATCCTCGTACGGGGACCCGCGGTATCTCTCGACCATGACCGCCTCCGATGCTCCAGCTCCGGTGCCGCCGCACGGAAAGACACTCGTGGACGGGTATCGGGATGCGCTGGACCCCCAACATGAGGAGCGGTCACGATACAACCCAGTGAGTAGAGACATAACACGCCAATCTGGGACTCCGGCTGACCATGCTTTCTTCATTCTGGTAGCTCAACCCGACTCACCCGCGAAGTTCGGTTCTCCTGAACGCCAACGACCCCGTGGCCATGTATCTGCTGACCGAGACCGCGATAGGGGATAGCACGAACTACGAAGTCCTATCCCTCGAGGAGGTCGAAGAGCTGAAGAAGGAAGTCATATTATTGTCCACTCGTATCCATGGCACGAAGCGGAAACTGGCACTTGAAACGAAACTGCGTGACGCGGCGCAGTCTCTCGGTAGGCTCTACAGCCCGCCCAGCCCGCGGAGCAGCGGTGAATACGGCGCCAATGGTGGTTCGAACTCGCACCGGATGAGCCGCGGTATATTTGGTCGCAGTGGGGCTTCTGAGGCCCTCGACAAGAGCGACTCCGAACTCGCGGTCAGCCAGCGGCGATGTGAGGAGTTGGCGCAGGAACTCTGGAAGCTGGAGAAAAGGTCTCAGACAATCACCCAGCGCTTGCTGGAGCACACTGCGGGTGTCTTGCAGATGACACACAAGGGTTTGAAGAAGAGTCCTAAGAACCCTGATCCGCGCACTTCGGATAACACCTATGATGATCGCAAATTCGACGATCGTAGTCTTTACCGGACAACCGAGCATTTGGATAACTTCGGCGTGAACGGGAAGATCGAGACCAATGCGGCTGCCGGAATGAATACCGACGCCATGCAGGCTACAGAACGACGATTGGAGGGACTTAGCGAGCGCATGCATGACATGATGATACAGTCCAATCCCGGTGAATTCATCGATCCTCCTCCGCAGCTGTCAGGGGGTGGGGGGCCCGTCAATCCCACAGCAACGGTCGACGCTCACTTGGACTATATCAAGAATAGCATGAATAATATCGTCTTGCATACGGGAGACATTCCTGCTCCCATGGCTGCTCGCGATATTGCACCTGAAGCCGAGGGCGCCTGGAAACACCAACTCACCGAAATCAACAATCGAGTGCAAGCCATTGTTGACCGGTTTGGCTTGACCCGTTCGCCAACCTTGCCTCCACCCCCCGACGCGTCTCACGGCGAGGGGCTGGAAGAACAACTCTCATACCTTCAGGCTGGTGTAGATGGTCTGGATAGTCGAGTAGATGGGGTTCTTGAGCAGAAGAGTATTCTCACCACGCAAATCCAGCAGCAACGCGAGCTCAACTCCAAGTCGGATGCCGAACGCGATGCCCATATCGGCGACCTGACGGAACAGTTGACCCACGTTCGCAGAGATCTTGAAGTATCTGAGCGTGAAGCCAACGCCAGTCGCGACGAGCTGGCCCTTGTCATGGAACAGCTCAACGCAATGCGCCACAGTGGCTCTTCCCAGGAAGAAGCCAAGGCGACTCTTGTTCAGGCCGAGGGTGAAGTTGCGCGTTTGCAAAGCGTCGTTTCCTCGCTGCACACCGAAGCTGATGCCAGGATCAACGAAGTCAGCGAAGCCCGGGAAGCCCAAGATAAAGCAGAGGCCGAGGTTAAGCGCCTGCAACAATACATCGACGATGTGCAGAGAGACAACGATACCAAAGCAGAGCAAGTCAGTGATGCTCGCGACCGCGCAGAAGGCGAGGTCAAGCGCCTACAGGTCGTCATTGCATCACTGCAAAACGATACCGACGCTAGGAGCGAAGAGGCCAGAGAGGCCCGCGACCATGCGGAAGAAGAAGTGAAGCGTCTACAGGTCATCATTACATCTTTGCAGAATGATAACGACGCTAAGAGTGAAGAGGCCAGAGAGGCCAGAGAGGCCCGCCACCGCGCGGAAGACGAAGTGAAGCGTCTACAGGCCGTTATTGAATCGCTGGAGAATGATACCGACGCTAAGAGCGAAGAAGCCAGAGAGGCTCGCGACCATGCGGAGGGCGAGGTTAAGCGTCTCCAGGCGGTCATTGCATCGTTGCAAAATGGTACCGACGGTAAGATGGAAGAGGCCATAGAGGCCCGCGACCGTGCGGAAGACGAAGTCAAGCGTCTACATATAGTCGTCGAGACTTTGCAAAACGACACCGATTCTAGAGGCGAGGACGTCAAGGAAGCCCGGGAGCGCGCGGAGAACGAGTGTCAACGCCTGCAGAGCGTCGTCGAAACACTACAGAACGATAGCGATTCTAGAACCGAGGAAGTTAGGGGTGCTCGTGACCGCGCAGAGCAAGAGGTCGCTCAACTCGAAGGCGCGATCCAACAGATCCGGATTCAATCTGATGCCCGTGTTAAGGAAGCGGATGATCAGCGCGCGCAGTCCGACCACAACGCCACCCGCCTGCAGAATGAGTTGACCGAGCTTGAAGGCGAGATTGTGCGGGTCACAACTGAACTGACAATGGCCAAGGCAGAGCTGGATGGTGCCTATGGTACTCGAGCCGAACGCGCGGCAGAGGTGGCTTCGAACCCTAGTGTCCAAAGGGAGAACGATGCTCTGGTTACGCGAAATATCGAGCTCACTGAAGAACTGGCTGCTCTGAAGAGCCAGCGAGGAGGTGGCGATCTTCAGCAGCGGGCGGATACTCTTGAAAGAGAACTTCGTGAGACCATCGATGACTACGAAGCGATGACGAAAGCCAGCATCGAGTTTGAGAAGGAACGCGAACGCTTTGAAAGTTTCATTGACAGTCTTCGGGATCGTTGCGAGCAACTCGAGACACAACTGGCAGAAGAACGTATCAGCTGGATGAACTTGAGTAGTCCCACATCCGTGGGCCGCGACGGTACTTCTGAGACGACATCTACCATGGTGCTCAAGAATGAGTTCAAGAAGATGATGCGTGACACGCGCAACGAGAACATGAAGATACTAAGGGTAAGTTATATTATACCTTTCTCTCTTTTCGAACTAACTGACACCTCTCAGGCCGAACAAGAAGAGCGCCGCAGGATTGAAGGGTTGCTGCGAGCCCTAAGAAAGGAGCACGCCCAAGTGACTGGCAAGCCCATGCCCAGCCCAGGTGGCACTCCATTATGATCATGACATTCAACGTTTTCGGGTTTAGAGCGCATATTCATTTAAGAGTGTACATATAGACTGTTTTGTATAATATTTTCGTTTGGCTTGATCTCGGCAGGCACGATGAGGGTTTTCGAGGAAATCACATACTCATCTTTGGTATTCCCACCTGTCACTCTCTCCTATTTTTACATTTGTAATCTTGAGGCTTCGCTCTTTTGCCTTCAAGATGATTTCCCGAAGAATCGACCAGTCCAGTAACGCTCATTCGCAGTCTTTTTCAGCATCACAGAACCTCCGACGTGGAAAACGCCACGATTCCGACTCCATTTCAGCATACGATAACCCAGACTCATCTGAGTCCGTCCTAAGCGATGAAAGATCCATATACAATGCGATCAGAGTCACCACACCAAGTGAATCCAGCCCTCGTTTCTATGCATCTTTCGCCCATGAGAACCCCGTTCATGAGCAAGGTTTAGCGGTAAACTTGGCCAGATTCGTTTCTACAGATTCACAGGATGATCAAACCCCTATCCATGTGCCAGCCAGGCGAGGAAAACGACAGAGAATTGTTGGAAAGCTTGGGGATCACACCAAGCTGTTATCCGACCAATGCTGGCAAGCCACGCACCGGTCGAGACGTGCTTTGAGTAGAACGACATCGGTACCAGAACCCCATCGGTCTTCGCATCGCAAGGCTGTTTCCCTCGGTGAGGGTAGTATCCGCAGGCCTAGATGGCCTGGGGGCTTGGGACCTGCAGTAGCGACCGTCCAGCCTCGATATCCACCGCCACAAAGAACGCCTACACCCCCTGGCCTTCCCTCCTTCGGAACATCAGAGGCTATGACCATCTCTCAACGGTTCATGATCCCAGACAACGGTGCACGGTCACGCGCAAACTTACAAGGTGGTGGTCCTGCTAGTGGTCAGCCCAGTTCGTATGGCGACACACTAAGGAGATTATTTGGCTTGCCGTCTTCCGCGTCTCAGGCTAATGGGATTTCCGTTAATGGTATAGGAAGGGCCGAGGATGGCACGCTGGTACAGGGCCGGTTCCCGCATCGACAAAGTGGCCATGGGATGCACGTCGGTCGACCGCTACAGGACCACCCTTTCCACCAACGCAATCTTCCCATTGCCCACCATGAAGCCGCAGGTACAAGCCACGATCCTTATATTGAAGCTGCACACACGAAGGGTGGTCTTGGAGGAAGCCCAAGCAGGCGTGTCCAGCCTGTGACCAGATCCTCGTCTAGACCCTTTCCATCGAACCCGGCCCCTGCTGTGGTAAACCGCCCACCGCGGCCCAGAGCCACTGCACTTCTCAGTTTGTCACATAACTTGGCTGCATCAGACGGTCCTACGGTTTCAGCGGAATCTTCTGCCCAAGGGACCAGAGCAACTGGAGACCATCTCCCTCCCAATCCATCGCGGCTTCATTCGGCTTTCACGATGGCTGTCTGCGGCGGCGGTGCAGATGAAGGCTCTCACGCAAGCACGCCCGTCTGTCCGGACATTTTGTCCTGGGTGAAATTCCATACTTGCCTCTGCTGCTGCTCAGGCAGCCATGAGGAGTCGGATGATTCTCTCGGGGTAACCAGCTCGCGGGACACATATGTAACCGCCCAGAGCCAGGTGTCTCCTACTGCATCTCAGAATGAAAACAGTGAGGAGAATACTCGTCTCCATAGCTTCCAGGAATGGATTTCATCTCTGTACGGTGTCATGTTTCCGACCCTTGTGAGCCCTGCCGCTGTATAGGCTTTCGTTGAAGTATATGCGTCTCGACAACCTGTTACATTACTACTATGGTGCTGTTTTCTTTCTTTTCTGAATGCTCAATGCACAAACACGCTTGCTGGGTGGTCTTATCATTAACTCGAACGTGTCCTAGCATCTCGCTCATGTAGATACAGTGCCGAATTTCCTCTGCCACGTCTTGGCGTTCTCTTTCTCCCTTTCTGTTTGCTCGCTGAATGGGCTCTCGATATCGCATCCCCAAGCTAGAATAAGACTGGCCTTGTCCAATACCTTTTGTTTTCAGCTGAGAGCTTCTGTTCAGAAAAGTCTCTAGAATAGCGAGGTTCCTCGCCCCTTTCCACCTCGACAGAAAATGTAAAGATATGTCCCCGAGGATAAATAGGAGGAAAAGAACGTGAAGTTTAGCAGACCATTCTATATAGGCAGCCTGATCTACTCTAAGGAAAAATGAGAAGACTACTAGCCTAGGCGCACGTTTGATGATAATAAATTTGGTAAGAATTATATTGGCAATAATAAAGACAAAACCAAAAATCCTTAAGACAGACACATCTCTCTTTTTGCTTATCATCGGGGCGACTTCTCCGACCCTCTTACAGGTGAAGAAGGGGGCAGGGGCCGGCCTCCTGGATGTCTGGTGTGACAAATCGATGTGGGGCCTGTACTTGATCGGCTTCATTGCATACATCCCGCAGAGCCCAGTCCAGTCCTAGAAAGTGGCGTGTTCTTGGATATTAGTGAGTCCTTCGAGGGGTCATCGCGGTGGTGCCCCTTCAGTTGAAGTCTTGCACACGCCAGGTGTTATCGGCAATGGCCTTGAGGCCTTGTCTTCCGATTCGGATATCACTATCCTTCGGAGCCGACTTTGCTCGTCGCATCAGGCAGGTTCTCATATTCGATACTAATGGAGCATCTGAAATTTTCTGGACCTCCCCGTTTTCCTTCTCAGCGATCACGATGCGCTGGACCCTGTTTATTTGCCCGTTTACGCCGTCCCATACCCGTTTATCAATGTTCAATGGTAATGTGTGGCTTTCTCCGGTTGATCTTTAACGTCAACATTATGTTGGCATTTCCTCTTCCGGATGTAACCAAAAAGCCGCGTCCCAAGAAAATACTCAATTCAAAATACTAAAGATGGGGAGAGAAAGGAAGCAAGATCCGGCCCAATTCTGAGAGAGCGTTTATACCAACGACCAATGCAAACAATGCAAACCCGACCTTCTAGCTAAACAAAGAGAAAGCAAACTAACCAAACTAACCAAACCAGCAAACGATCTGGCATGTGATCATGCATGCCCTGACCCCAGATCGTGACGTTACTTCATCTCTTTATTGAACCTGACGACAAGGACGCTTGAAATGGGAATTTTGATAGATAGGAGATTGGTTTAGAACATGAGTGGCATGCGGGTTCACTGTTTACGAGGGATTAGGGAGTTTTAGGGTTTTCCTGACACCGTTTTCTATGACATTGATATAGCTAGTCTGAGGGGAGTCTGTCTTATGAGGGAGATGATGCGATGTCCTGAGGCCCCATATCTTTTTGCCCACGATCTCCTCTCATATTACATCTTCCCCCTTCTTAATAGCCAGTGGTCAACATCCATGCCTCTTCTCCCTTTCTTCCATCGAAAGATCAAATCAATTCGAACTTAGCAGGAGGACAGAGACGACTGTCCCTTGCAGGAAGCAGTTGAGGTCAGCTTGGGGCTTTCTCTGCCCTCAGACTTGTCGACTCCCTCGAACTCCTGGCACACGTGGCTGACGGATCCGCAAGTTCCGCTAATGTTAGAGGTATCGCCATAGTTAGAATTAATTCCTACTAATGTCGAGACGTCATTGGCCTTGACGTTCTTGACCACCACATGACGGGGGCTCTTGCTCTTGTTCTTGCTGCAGTTGCCGCATGATCGGTACAGCTTGCCGGCATTCACAACAGTGAATCCATCAATGGTGACGGTTCCGGCACCGTTGTGCTGCACAACCTTATCCTTGGCGTCCTGGGCGCCTCCACCCTTGATGAGGGCATCTCCGGTTCCGAGGATGGAAATTGCGTCCTATATGGGACACATTAGCATTAGTTGACCAGATAGGTATAGGAATACTCACCTCACAGACATCACGGAACCAGACGTTGGTCAGAGTGCAGGATCCCTTGCAGTGGATGCCCTCGAGTTGGTTCTTTCCAATGATCACGTTGCTCAGTGATGCTCCATCCTTCAAGATGAACACGGCGTTGTCGTCGCCTATATTCAATTAGCTCTCTGTTTGTCTGGACTCATTTTTTAGTGTGGACATACCAGTGTCATCATCATTGTCGCAGGATCGACCACGGTCGTACTCGCGGTTGCCCAGATCAACACTGCCTGAGATCTCACTAGGAGAAGGCAGAGAGATAATGTCACCCACACGAGAGGGGATTTTGAGAGTCTGGGCACTGGCAATGCCAAGGAGACCGAGGATGATAGCGCTGGAGTGCATTTTGTTCAATTGATGGTTGATGGTTGATGGTTGCTCAAATCGAGGGTCAATGAGGAGCCTTTTATACCTTTTGAGCTCATAAGACAGGTCTTACCCCGTGCTGTCTCAGTCACATACGCTCCGTCCGGCTACATGACTCCTCAATATAGCTGAAGAAATTCCACGACATCTGACTGGATGGAATTACCCCACGACTCCCACGAGGTAATGCAAGGCCCAGGTCATAATTCGGCCCGGATGCATTCTATCCCTACCTATCGTGAGAACATAAGACATTTTCTAACACCTTATTTTCCGTCTTGGCGCTTCCCTGAGTCATGTAGCCAATACCAAGATACATTTATATTGAAAATGCCAAGAGCCAAGATGCCAAGATTCGAGAGCTCCAGTTCGCACTCCGGCATTGTGGCTATGCCTGCAACCTTGAAACGACCTACGCATTTACAAGATCCACCAACCAAAAAGAAAGGTTGGACCTCGCCCTTTTCGCTTCCATAGATATTCATATGTGCTTAATCTAGGGACTGGAAGTTTGGGGAGGTATGGAGAAGCTATACAGAAGCTATGGAGATAAATTCGATGCCAGGAATAGTTATATCTATATAGCTAGGACTAGATTTATTCCATTGGCGTTCTGCTCTTGAAGCGGATCCTTTGGGAATGGTCTCACTATGGACTAAGAGTTCAGTACTCTGTATGGATACATAGATGCCCCTGAAGGACTACATATCTAACATTGGAAGTCTTTGATCAGTGTCAGTGATCACCCGGGCACGTTATGTCTCAGAGCAAGCTCAGTGGTGCCACCGTTATACTATAGAATCGGCCTTTGATATCGGATCCACTTACGTCTCATCTATTATAGTTTTTCCGACGGTATAGGTCTTTGATACAGCATCCACTTGCTTCCAAGGTTGAGGTCTCATTTTGCAGTGACTACGTATAGCCGTTCGAAATATTCGAAGATTAGCCAAGGTATGTAGCTACCATAGCACGCTATGCTAAAAATTACGTTTCCGATAAGAATATCCCCCCTGAAAATCTAAGACGGATTTTTACAGGTGCTTGAGCTACTTTGGCCTTAAACCAAGAGTTGATGAGCGGTCTCCATGTAGTTCTGTAGTTACCTACATCTATACATACTTTTCTCCCTTTTTGAGATGCTTCTTCTCTCTTATGCTGAAAACAGTGATGTTGCGTATCCATAGTCACCACTGGAAATCTTTTAAGCCCTTTGAATGCACAATTCTTCTCGCAACTACATTGGTGTATGTATTTAGTATATTTAGTACAAGTTAGACCTGTCTATACCCCGATCAATCCTTATAATTCTCACGCAGAAACCGAGAAAGTCCAATCCCTCGGGAACAAACCGTACTGCACATCATCCCTATCCCGGAAGATATCATCATAATGCGCAATACAAGTCTGCGGATCCTCAGCCTGCGCATAGTAGCTATCCCCCAACGCCTTAAACACCGGGTCACTCCACATCTTCGCCATCCATGCTAGGGCATCGGGCCCAGCGCCATCTAGCGGAAGACCATAAGAGCGGAACCGCTATATCTAAAGTCAGCCAATGCGCCTGTTTTGGTTGTGTTCTCTTTTTCGAAAAAAAAAGGTGAGGAAGAAACCCACCCAAAGAACTGGCCAAAAGAATGCATCCGCAATACTAAACCCACCAAACAAAAACCCTTCATCAACCTCCCCCAGCAGCGCAAGCCGTTCGGTCGTCGCCTGCCGCGCCGAATCCCAGATCCGGAGCATGCGCGCTATCTCCGCGGCCGCACCATCTGGGATCGGCACGTTACCCGTGTACCTGGCGAGGAAGTTTGTGTGGAAGGTACTGCGCAGGAGTGGGAAGCCGGAATGCATTTGGGCGGCGGCGCTACGGGCGAGGGCGCGCAGGTGGCGGTCTTTGGGCCAGAGCGGGAGGGTTGGATTTGATTCAGCGAGGAATTCGCAGATGGCGAGGGAGTCTGTTATTGTTGTCGAGGGGAGGGAGTGACATTGGAGGATTGGGACGAGGCCTGTTTGGGAGTGGGATTTTGTCTGTTTAGTTTTTCTGTGAGTGACTGAATACTTTTCTGGGTTTTTGTTGAGGATGTAAGTATATACTTCGGAGAGCTGTATAAATTGGCGCGTATGGGGGATCTGGAAGTACTCTAGTACTGCCTCGACGCGTGCTGTCCAGCCTATTTGGAGCTTGTTAGGTCTGCTGATGTATGATTCCTTGCTGCTTACTGGAGTAGCGGGTGTGTAGCCCGATGAGATGGTAGTCTGGGGTCTGAATGGCCATGATATGTGAAAATGAAGTGAGATTAATGGAGTTAGTAGACGTGAGTCCGGGGGAACTAACAACCTAAATAGTTACTGCGGGGTCCACTGGTATAGTTCCTGATGAGTCACTTAATTTATAATTTCGGTCGGGTCCCACGTTCCAATTGAGATAGAGACAAATCTGCCGAGGTGCCCAGGTGGTCTAATATCCAGTGAGATTGTCTTGAGAGTCGAACCTTTCCGATTGATGCTAATCATAATGCTATGGATCAAATGCCACACCGGCGCCATGTAAGAAGATAACAATGAGATCGAAAAAAAAGATAGAAAAAGAAACTCCGAAAAATATATGTGACGGGGATAGCCTGGAATGACTCCTAACACGGAAGTCAAAATAAGACATGCATCATTAAACAGAAAGCAAGGGCCCATCAAGTAACAATGCACCAGGCAAAGAAAACACAACGCGATCACATGGATGCTAATAATAGGGAATCGTCAAATGAATTGAGTCGTCTTCTCATCAGAGTTCACAATTCGCGCCCAGTAAGGGCGATGCAGGAGATGTACCGAAGTAAAACAAGAACAGACGCTGGCATTAAAAGGCGTAGCGTATAGGCGAGAGAAAGATTAAAGCCCCTTAAAGAATGGACTCGCCTCAATGATATCTTCATCATCGTACGCGAAATCCCATCCCACAATGCGAGGGTCCACGCTGGCACAAATGAGCTTTCGTGCATCAAACTGGAGTTTGAACACCCTCGCAGCTGTCGAGGACCCTTGAGGTCTGCGTTGATGACCATGGTGGTGATGATGGTGAGCAGGAGGTGGGTTCAGTGGCAGGGCATTGATAACCAGAGGGGGCACAAATTGTGGGTTGGCACGACCGGCGTGGGGGTTGACATTGGCATTTTGCCCAAGTGTCGCCAGAGCCTGTGCTGCTTGCAAGTGTTGAGCCTGGGCCGCAACAGTGGTTCGTGCCACCTGGCTGAGGTTCGCACGAGCGGAATTGGCGATGGCATCACTGTGTCGCAGTTGATGATCCGTTGTCCACCTGTTATCACGGTCTTTGTGCCAGATTAAGATTGACTCGTCGTAGGAACCGGACACGATACGGGCCCAGCTACTACCTCCCCCACCGGGTGGGATTTTTGCTCCCAGAGCAGGGATATCGCGAGGGTCCCTAGATCCAGCAGTGTTCGGTTGGTAGCCATTGCGGCGTTGCTCCCGATGACCCATGTCGACGTCCAATCCGGCCTCTTGAGCGGCGAAGAACGCAGCTTCACATGCTCGCGCTTCACCACGCAAGGTTTCATCGGCTCCCGGAGCATCACCGAACCCTGCTTGAAGGGTGCGAACGAGATTACTATGAGCTCGCAAACACGCCACCTCAGCTCCGGTGGCATGATCGTAGATGCGGACAGAGTTATCATTGCTACCACTAATGATTCTTCGGCTGTCGAACTCAACACATGCGATGCCTTTCTCGTGGCCTAGCAAGGTCTTCGTGCAAGCACCAGTGCGGATGTTCCAGACTTTGATCACTCGATCCCCAGACGCCGTCACAATATCATCACCATGGATCTGCATGGCATTCACGGCGGCTCCATGTCCTTCCACGGTCATGAGCAACGTGTAAGGCTCTAGGACTTTGTAATGCTCATGTGCAATGCCAGCTTCAAGAACATTCGGTGCAACCGCGTTCAGATCTATTATCCATGTAGGATATGTGGCACCTGATCCATGGCAGATACGCGGATAATCCTTGCTGTTCGGTAGAAGATCCCGGCGGTTCCATACCTTCACACTTCGGTCCTTGGAACATGTCACAAGGTAACGAGTATCGAATTTGAGATTCAGCACGGAGTCAGTATGCGCTTCTTCAATTTGATGGATCTTTTCTCCAGTGGAGAATTTCCATACGATGACGGACTTGTCGCTGCTGCCGGAGATGATGATGTCTTCCTCGGGAAGAGGATCAAATTGCAAGCAAAGTACGGACTTGATATGTCCCACCAGCGGGGGATGCCACAGTCGTTTGGTATCCAGGTTCCAGACTCGCACAGTCTTGTCTCGGCTCCCACTGACTAGCCATCGGCCCTCGAACTGGATCGCATATACGCATTCCCGATGGGCCTCTTCTGGGTGGGAAGGGTCAGGAAGTTGGAAATTGGTGTAACGGCCTTGATGCCAATTCGCTTCGAGCCGCCTGCGTTGCTTGTAGATATGGAAATAGTTGACTTTGGCGCTTCCATCGGTATCCCGTATGAGAAGTTGCGAGCGTAGAGGTGGGTACAGCGGCGAAGGAGATTGGGAAATATTCGTGGGCAGAGTGAACTCCGGATTTTCAGTGGACGGAGGTGCGGGTTGATCGTCATCATCAGTCATGTGGTGATCACCTTCACTGTCGGCCACCGGGGGCTCGGGGCCAAACACGGTCGGTCTTTGGTTTTCATCGCTTCGTGAATCGAGCCAGGTCGACGGCACGCGCTTCTTCTGCTTGGGTTCCCCGAGATCTGGTTCCGAGTGTCGTAGGCGGGACTTCCGAGTCTGCGGCGACATGGCCTCGGAATGTCCTTGTTCAAACGCACGAATCACGCTCGTGTCCATGTCCCAACCTTCATGGATATAATGGAACTTCCACAGACCTGAGTCAAGGATACGTTCACGCCATGAGCGGGATGCAAGCGAGGCATTCAGAAGCGTCCGAGCATCGAGGTAGGTAAAGATCTCCCATGTGACTTCCGGGGGAAGTCTGACACATGGGTCAATATGGAGGATGGGGTTAAGTCGATCAACTACTGCGGCGATGCTTGAGGTTCGTAGAGACCGAAGAAGGCTGTATGCGAGCTCTGGAAGTTGGAAACCTCGGTTAGCAAGGGAAATCGCAAAGGAACAAGCAAAAGCGATTGATCCTTAACGCTCGTAGCAGTTACCACAGGGACAAGGAAAGGGATATCTTACCAGCTCTGCCGGCCTCGGACTGGGCGAGCACCCAATTTGGAAGCGCCATGACATTGTCTGATCCGAGATCTTTGTCGGCCTGGCTTCGAGTATCATCCGAGTAGCCTTCATCTAGCTTAAACGAGGGTGACAGAGAAAGCGCGGGGAATTCGGAGACGGTAGTTGTCTGCAATTGTAGTGTAGGGGAGATTTGAGCATCGGGAGCATCAGGAGCATCGGGCAAGGGCTCACCCTCCATTGATGCGGGTTTTCAGAGGGGTCTGCGCCGAGTTGATGAGTCGAACGCCGAGATCAATGGCGTTGCGCGATGGCTGTGAAATCCTGCAATAACTTTCCGAGAGAGTATAGAGAATTAATGAATGAGGGTAGGTTCCTTGCAGAGGAGAGTTGGGCAAAGGAAGGAGGTTGAGCAGATAGGTTGGCCTCGGTGCATGTCACGTCATGTTTGGACGAGGCAAGGCCCACCCTGAAGATTGATAGAGCAGTCGCAAAGTGAAAAAAAGGAGAAGTTCAATACAAATCCGAATTGAAATATATAGAATTTCAATTTACATACAGAGTCCCTTCAAGAGCCTCTTATCACTCGAAGTAATAATAAACAAGTTTGAGTATGTCGCGCATGGAATGAATGGATGGACATTGTTCCCCCTGCGAGTCACGTGGTTTGAGTCTATAGGGCTATAGTTAACAACCCATACAGAGTTACATATGTACTTCATGAGAAAAGCAGGCTATTGACAAAGACGAGAATATCAATGCGTCTAAGAAACTGGGAGGCCCAGGCCGATTGATGTCTCGTATAGTATTGTAGTGCCGTATGTTAGGGAGCAACTCATAGCATATAGCCTGTTCCTCTAGGTCCAGATTCCTATATTCCGCACGGATAGACTATAGCTATGGTTAGAGGGCATACCCCATGTCTACATAGGTAGCCAGGGAAAATGAATAGCATTTATTGCATTCCCAAAATAGGTGCTAATATATTTGCTACGAAGGGAACCGATAAAATCGCAAGTGCTGTCTTGTAATCGCACAGACTCATTCTAGGCGCTAAAGACAAGAAATAATAACGCTACGGAATAGAGCAGAAAGACTTTTTATAGGAAGTATATATTTTCCTTCATATGTTATCTTGTTCAGCGAATGTACCTTTTGTATGCGACCCCCTTATCCAAGGTACTTGCGCTTATACTATACAAATCGTGTACGTTGGGATACTCCAGTATCGATGCTCCAGAGCTCTCTTCTCCAGCCGTCTAGCCCTCCCCTTCCCACGCTTGCTCCGGGGCCTGGGCTGCCCTAGCCCTGGCCCCCAAGCTTCCAAGGTTGGAAGGTGGGTGCTGACACAAGCAAAACCAATTGCCCCTCTCCACATCACACCGCCCCATAAAACACACGCTAAACCCTTTGAGGCAACTGAACAGACTCCTTCGGCTCACCCTCTCTCCAAGGATCCTATTCCTCTGTTCCATCAGCAGAACTCTCGGCTGTTCCGCTTGCTCTTGTCATTTTGGTTCTTGGCCTCATTCAACTGCCGAGTCCGTCTTGCTTCGGCTTCTCTTATACTATCATTCTGTGCGCCACCCCTTTTCTCGGGACTTCGATTGTCCTCCGCTGAGTCCTAGTGACTGGCCCTTTTGCAAAGCTGTTCCTCCGAACTATCTTTTATCTGATTTTACTCGCCTGCCCGGTTGCAGCGGTCATCTAAACGTTTAAATCCCCACACCCCATCGATTGGGGCTGGCTGCAGGTCGGAATATATTCCTCGAGCCCCTCCTTTTCCTCAGTGACGGTGCATCGTACTTCATATCCGCGCTATCGGTTCAAACAAATATATCTATATTTATCCCCTGTTGTCTCTGACCTTGAGAGCGCTTCCGGGGAAGCCCATTTGAATCAATCACGTCTGCGACCGAGAACCGATCAGATCGCTGTTGGTCTCCGGAATTTCGAGCGAGACTCTTGATTGACACCTCCCTGCGCCGCGCAGCTCACACCCACCCGGGGGAACTCATGATCGTCATTTCTCTATTTCGGACGCTCGTCGATCCCTCCGAACCTATCCCTCTTGGGTCTGCTGTGCAGAATTAAGTTGAGCCTGGCTGGTCTAACTCATCTATATCTGGCCCTCGAGTCGATATGATTGACTCTTCAACCATGAGCGGCGCTCCGGTCGCCGAGGATAACATTATCAACCGCCGCGGTGGAGAATCGATCTACCAGAGCTGCGTCAATTTGAAGAGGCGGCTATCCGAAGTTCCCAACTTTGAGTCATACCTGCAAGAGATGGACGATGATGATCGCATAAGAGGAAATACAGATCCGGTGTCTTCGTTGTGGAATTGCCTCAGAAATGGCTATCCACTGTTGAGCATTTATAATGCATCTGGTCCCGATGAACCACTAGAAATTGATCCTGGCAAGGTAACTGAGGCGAAACGTCCCAAAGCGGCGACCTTCAAGTTCCTACAGGCTTGTTTACAAGACCTGGCATTCCCTCAGCAGGATTGCTTTTTGATCACTGACCTTTATGGCGAGAGTACCACCGGTTTCATCAAAGTGATCAAAATGGTCAACCGCGTGGTGGATATTCTCGAAATGCAAGGTCAATTAAAGCAGTCTGAAGTTCTAGAGACTCCGGCGAAGGCCAATGTGAAGCTTACTAAGCGAGAGCATATTCTCAAGGAGCTTCTGGAAACGGAGCGTGACTATGTTCATCACCTGCAGAATCTCCAAGCGCTCAAGAAAGAACTGGAAGAGACGGGTGCTTTGACAGGTGATGCTAGCCATCAGATTTTCCTCAACTTAAACAACCTACTGGACTTTGCCCAACGGTTCCTGATTCGCATGGAGCAGCACTACGCCTTGCCAGAAGAAATGCAGAACTGGGGTGAGCTTTTCTTCCTGCATGAAGATGCTTTCCGGCAGTATGAGCCTTTCATTGCCAACCAGATGCGTTGTGACGAAGCTTGTATGAAGGAATGGGATAAAATCCAAAGTGCGCCACGCAGCATAGATCTGCAACAAATGGTCGCTCAGCCGAAAACGCTCAATGGATTCTTTGTGAAACCCTTCCAGCGTTTGACTCGATACCCGCTGATGCTCTTGGTAAGTTTGCTGAGTGCTGGGTTCAAGCTCAACGAGCTAATATGGTTGTACCTTCTCAGGAGCTACGCAAACAATTAGAAGACGAGCAACTCCAGGCCGATATCACACATGCAGTCAATTGTATTCAGAATGTGTTGGACTTTGCTAACGAGGCAATCCACAAAGAACATTTGGCTGCGGCGGTAGTTGATCTATCTGAGCGCGTTGACGACTGGAAAGCATTGAAGATGGAGTCATTTGGAGACCTCCTTCGATTTGGCACTTTCCAAGTTGTCAAGGGAGACAGTGGAAAGGATAGCGAGAGAGAGGTATGTGATCTTGCTTTCTGCGTCTTCCGCCTTTTTGTTCCCCGAAATGGAACATCACTAACATGGCCCCTAGTACCACATCTATCTCTTCGAGCGAATACTTCTCTGTTGCAAAGATATCAATCCCAACAAACAAAAGTCTAAGCTTATGATGCAGAAAGATAAGCCGTCTTTGAATGCGAAAGGAAAAGCTCGTCTTCAACTGAAGGGTCGAATCTACATGGCCAACGTCACAGATATCGTTTGTCTTCAAAAGCCTGGTAAGCATTACTCTTGGCTTGTTAGGTTAAGAATATGCCTCTAATGGATTCCAACAGGACTCTACCGTATTCAGATTTTCTGGAAAGGCGACCCTGGTGTCGTCGACAATTTTATCATCCGATATGCAAACGAAGACACCATGCGGAATTGGTACAAGGAAATTGACACCCAACGGGCGATCCAAGCGGAGCGACGCACTTTGCGCAATACTGGTACATCGGACAGCGAGTTCACGTACATGGAGGGCATGGCGAATATGCCCAACCCCTATCAACAAGAGTATGATACCGATGACGCCAACAACAAAGATCCATATCATTCCGAATTCCCCATGAGCCGAAATGCGTCCAGTACTAGTCTGAGAACCCGATCTGCCACGGGTAGCAGCGCCACCTCTGTTCCTCACCCCAACACTCGACCGCGCTATGCGGGAACTGATCCAACGCTGTCGGTGCACACTCAGTTCTCCGGCAACGGAAGCATGTCCCCTGGTGATCGAAACATGAGCTCCTACTTTTCCCCCACGGCGGAGACTCCTTCCACGAGATCGAGTTCTCAATCCGCAGGATTTTCCTTTAGTCGTCAGAATACAAATTCCACCACCCCATCATCCGTCTGGAATGAGGATTCCCTTCGCTACACAGCACCAGCGTTGTCTCGTGTAACATCGCGAGAAGGGTCCACTGGCGGATATTTCCCACCTCAGCCAAGTGGAAGAGGTGCTCAGCGGCCGTCATTGCCTCCACTCTCGGGCCCGCAGGCTCACTCCGCAAATGGCATGACCCAGCGGATGCGATCGGCTAGTAGCCCTGATATTCACCATCACAATAACAATCCTGAGTCACGGCGTTATATGGGAGTGCACACTATGCAGACAGTCGACAATGTTCCCGTGCCACCGATTCCTGCGCACATGGCCAACATGAAAGCCCCCGTCAGCCGCAGCCAGAACGGTTCGCCCACCAACACCCAGCTCCCCATTCGTACCCAGCCCCCACTCCACACCACGCATTTCAACGAGCCGGAATATAACGATACCCGCCATTCTGGGCAAATCTCCGATCATGCGACATCGCCCCTGACCCATGAGCCAGGGGAAGGAGACTACATGCCCACTCAACTCAAGGCCAAGGTGAATTTTGACGACAACTATGTCACACTAGTAATTGCGACCAACATTTTGTTCCGTTCATTGACGGACCGCGTGGATGCCAAACTCGCTCGGTTCACAGATCGGTCCATCGGGAGCAAAACCGTTCGACTGCGCTACCGCGACGAAGACGGTGATTTCGTCACGATTGATAGCGACGAGGCGGTCCAGCTTGCTTTCATGGAGTGGCGGGAACAACATCGTGACATGCTCGCCAAGGGCTTGGTGGGAGAGATTCAACTCTACTGCCAGGTGGTCGATTAGATCATTCTGTTTTCTTGTTTGCTTTCCCGCTCATTCTTGACTTACTACCTCTCTTGATTCCCCCTGCGAGGATCTCGTCGATCCCCGTCCTCTCAACGCTTTGCATCGCCTTGGCGCTCGTTCTTCCCATCTTGACCCTTATTGTTC